GCGTGCGGGGGGTAGCGCCGGCTGCTCCTTTGGTTGTGTGGAAGAAGAGAGAGAGAGAGAGAGAGAGAGAGAGAGCGAGCGAGCTCATGCCCTGGGGAAGAAGAAACGAGCTCAAGGGGGCGTGGTGCAGGCGGGGAACCCTTCCCTAGTCCTGCAGAAAGAGAGAGAGAGAGAGAGAGAGAGAGAGAGAGAGAGTCGGTTTTCCTTCTTGGCGGTGACTGAGGCCTGACCAGTGCTGCGTCCCCAAGGTTTGCTCCGAAGACCTGTGCGACTCCACTCTTTGGGAGCCCAAACCGGGCAATGTCTTGGGAAGCACCAAAGACGAGTGCTGCACTCCTCGAGATTGCGACGACTACAAGTGCTCCGCCAAGTACGTGAAGAAATCGAAGAGGCAATCTGACAGCGAGAAGTTGTAGCAGCGTAGCAGCGTAGCAACGGCATGGCATGGCAGGGCCGCCACAGCGTGCATCTCGTGAGAGGCATGGCCAGGATGGTTCTCCGCTCTTACTGCAGGGGAGCACCGACAGCGAGTGTTGTGAGCCAATCTCATGAGACCTGGCATCGACAGCATGAATTTTCTGAGGCACCTACAATTGTGTTGAGCGTCGCCAAAACACACACAGACAGACACACACACACACACACACACACCCCGCGCCCCTCTGGCAATCTCCCCTGGCATGCTCTTGACATTGAGAACTTTTTGTTTTGCGAGCTCAATGTCCAAAGGCAAGCACATCGACTGCGAGGCTACGGACGAGTGGAAGACGAACGAAAGCGCCAAGGTTGGCGCAAGCCTGGAGGAGCCTGAGCATAGTCATAGCCCCCTAACATTCACCCGTATCGGCCTGGCTGGTATTGCAAAAGCTCCATTCCGTGTGTTCCTTTTCGCTAACCCTAAATGAGTGAGAACACAAAACAGCTGCTTCATGCATCACTCTTGTAAGGGCTGCGCAGGACTGCTGCATCCCGCAATTCTGCAAGCAGCACAGCTGCGAACCTGCGACGAAATGGGAGCCAAAGCCCAAAGCAATCCTGGGCAGTAGCAGCCGTGCTACACATCAGTTGTCAGTTGAGAAGGGTCCGGTGGATTCGTTTGCGCTTCAGGCTCAGCTGAGGCTTCACTTGGAGAGGGTGCCGGCAAGTGGAGCTTTGGCGTTCGACGTCCTTGGGCAGCTGAGGCAACCCAAGCTGTTGCACGCCCAAGATGTGCAAGGAGTTCAAGTGCGACGCCGGCTTTGAGCTCCGGAACCTTGTCATGCCAAGCCAAGCAAGTCAAAGGGTGGAGAAGCCGCCGTGGAATTGAACAAGAGATGCGTCCCAGGATTCGAAAGGTTGCCAGTAGCAGCTTCTTTCATGAACTCTGATTGCCCTCTGGAGAAAAAGCAAGACTTGACGTCTTGTTTATACACGCAGACCCACCCACACACACACACACACTCGAACAAACATACACTGTCTATCTATCTATCTACCTTACCTACCTACCTACCTACCTACCTACCTACCTACCTTTTGTTTTGTGTTTTGGATGGCGGACGGCTTCTCATTTGTTTTGCGTGCGGTGTGGCGTGTGTGGTGAGCTTCTCATGTGCTTGCAAGGCGATGAGGACTCTCAGCTGCTGGAATTTCTCGGATAATTAAGCTGACTGTTGGCAGCCTGCTCAAAATTGAACGGCTGCTTCCCGCATTGCTTGCCAGTGGTGCGGGTCACGCATCACCCGTGCATTCGCTTTCGTGTCATTCTTCAAAGACCGACCTACCTACCTACCTACCTACCTATCCATCTATCTATCTCTCGATCTATCCATCTATCCATTTATTTATATCGGTCTGTCTATTCGTCTATCTGTCTATGTTGTCTATCTCTCTAGATACAGTATGTGCTTCTGTGTATGTATATATGATATATATGATATATGTATATATATATACATGATACATATACATATACATGTATATATATATATGTGTGTGTGTGTATGTATGTATGTATGTATGTATGTATGTATGTATGTATGTACGTATGCACGCATGTATAATTGTTATTGTTTATTTGTACCTCGATCTATACTTATTTATGTATCTCTGAAGAGCGGAAAACCTACACATCTCTGTCTGTATATATATATACATATATATATATATATGTGCCTATTCAGTTATGATTTGATTGTATTTACATACAGGCATACGCAGATGGTATCCCAGTCCAAAATTGTGCATTCCGAAATGTCAAACTTTCAGGTTTGGAATAATCCGCATTCATCCCCAGGATCCACAACATAACGATTCCAACCAAGATTCCAATACTCTATTTTTCAGTGGAGCACGTGTTTCAAAATCCATAGATCCATGAGAGCAATTCCAAGAGCCCAAGCGGAAATAATGTTCCCAGGCTTGTGGACATATGAACGTGTTGTATGGAGATGCAGACATTCGAGACTCAAAGAACGACAAGTGTGAGGTTCAAAAAGGGGCATGTTATATGTGTCTATATATATATACACATATATATACACATACATGCATACATACGTACGTACGTACGTACATACATACGCATGCGTGCGTACACACGCCCACACGGACACTCGAACATACATGCACCGATGCGTGCACAGACACACAATGTGTATATAGATTTGTATATGCATGGGGGTGTGTGTGTGTTTATGTTTGTCTGTATGTACGTGTGCACGTGTGTGTGCATGTGTATGCGTAGGTGCATGCATGCATGGATGGATGGAGTTGCAGTTGCAAGCGGTGGAATGTTCAACTGCCATCCGGTCGAGCATTTGCCCTTCAAAAAGAGCCGAGGGCTGGCGCCGTGATTGGAGGACGAGGCCTATTAGGAAGCACCCACGACGAGTGCTGCGAGAAGAAGTCTTGCCACGACTGGAAGTGTGTCTCTACCTGATGTTGCACAAGAGGTTGTTGGGGTGTGGTTTGGGCTTTGGTGCTGTGCCCAAGGCCGCTTGTGAGGCTGTGTCCTCTGCATCGGCTAAGGCAGCGACCCGACGAAATGGGTGCAGCAGGCTGACGAGAGCAGCCTGGGCGTGGAAAGGCATGGATGGAGCGACGAGGACGGGAGCCGACCGGTTGATGTGGCTTGGCCCGAAGCTTCCCCTTGTAGAGCGGCCAGGAGTGCTGCACGCCTTTGATGTGCAGCACCATCGACTGCGTGCCAGAATCGCTTTGGGCCCCGAGCCCCTCGGCCCGAAGTCCAGAGAACCGGCAGAGAACAAGTGCACTCATGCAGTCCCGGACTCCCAGAATCGGCAGAAGAGTTGGAGGGCCTCCTGGGCAGCACCAGCAAGCAGCTGCATGGCTGCAGATGAGTGTTGCGCCCGAGTGTTGCGCCCGAGGCTTAAAACACTGAAGCTCTAAGGTGCTGCAACCCCAGGTGGTGCAAAGACTACACATGCACGGGAGACATTCCTGCAGAGCCACCTGTCGCACTTGAGCTTCATCAGTAAAGTGCGTATGGTCTCAATATCTGTGCCCTTAGGAACGTTACCAGCACCAAGTGGTACAAGAAGGTCGATACGAATCATTTCAAGTTCCGGGGAAGCACGGACGAGGAGTGCTGCCACCCCAAGTATTGCAGCGAGCCTCTTGGCATGAACCCCCTATTAAAACCCGAATTTTCAGAGAACTCCCGAAAACGCCTTTTAAGAGCGCAGAGCTTCTGCTCTCCCCAGGTACACCACAGAGTTCCCCAGCAAGTACCGGCGAAAGCCCGAAGACCTCCAAGGGAAGCCGAGGCGCTTTGTAGGGCGTAGGCCTGAAAGCAAGCCCTCTCTCTGCTTATCTGCCACCCATAAAAATCGATCGATTCCCGACCAGGCTTGGAAGCACGGAAGCCGAGTGCTACGACGAGCTCAAGTGCAGCGACTATTGCTGTAAGGACAAGGCCTTGCAACTGAAGGCACCGAGACCAGCGCCATTGTGCTAGTAGCTTAGTAGCTGCTACTGTAGTACACCAGTTCTCTGCGAGACTCAATTCGGAGCAGTGCTTCTGCCAAGAGGAAGACGCAGCGCAGCTCTTGGGCAGCACGGACCAGGAATGCTGTGAGAAGCCTGGCTAGGTCCTGCACACGCCTACTCGGGAGGAAGGGTTGCAGGAGATCTCTGTGTACAGGTGCAGGGTCGATGGCCCTGTTAATGCAGGGCTTTTGTGACCTGAGGGGTTTCCCAGGTCCAGTGTCACCCTGCGCGGCACCTGAGTTGCGAGGCCGCGCGCTAAAGACCTGCTTCACAATGCTCTCAGCTCCAGGCGAAGTTGAAACGGCTTTGAGATTCCATGAGCTTCAGCTTGGGCTCGAGACAGGAGCCCCTTTTAGGCTGCTCTTTGCCCGAATGGCGTGAGTCTGCAGGGCCGAAGAGGTCCTGCTGCGGGCACAGGGCATGCTGCGAAGATCGCGGGGCAAGACGCCAACAGCGCTGTGCCTGGCACCCCATCGGCACACTCTGTCAGCAGCCATAGATTTAAAGAGAGATATGTCTGTCTTGGGTTTAGGTCGCGTTCTTCTACATTTGCCACCTCCGCCTCTCCAGTTGGATGGGAGAGTTGGAAGAGCCTGAGCCAGATGGTCCAGATGCCTTCTCGCTGATGTTTCCGAAGTCCTACCGTGGCATCGCCCTTTCTGCGGGCAGCCCTCGACCAACCATGATCAGCTGGAGCATGCTCTGGCATGAACCTTGACAGCGCATGACTGCGTAGTTGGCACCCGTTGCCAAAAAAACAGGTGCCTTCCATGTATCTAGACTTTGTTGACTGGAAATGCTTTCTTGGGCTGAGGACTGTTCAATCATGGTCATCTTCGCAACAGTCGGATATGCAGCATCTCGGCTGCTCATGCGAGCGCATGCAGACTCCTGCACATCTCGCTTTCTGACTCAGCCCAGGTTTCCTACTCTCAGCAGCGATGGCTCTGCGTCCCACACGAGGTCGAGGAGATGCCACAAGCACAGCTCCGCCACAGCACAACCGTGGCTCCCGTAGCCGTAGCTGCCGTAGCTGCGAAGGAGCACGTCCCGAACCCGCCCAGCCCACAGAGCGGAGCTCTGCTGGCTGCCGGGCTCCTGGGCAAAGAAAAAAGCGTTGCGGCGGCCTCCCTTACTTTCAACTTTGAACTTTTGTGCAGCATGCACATCACAAGATATCACGAGGCTTTACGGTGCCAACATCGCCTATAATGTGATCAACAAGCGCTTGCTCATCGCGCATCCCCATCCTTTGCTTGCGGCTTGGAAGGCAAAAACATGTCGGACGCGTTTGCTTGCTTTTTCGATGCTCGGGAGCCTGAGATCACCGGCGTGAACCTGGCCTCTTCATCGTTTTGTGCAATCCTTTGTTGGGTCTTTGGGCTGATAAGCTGGCCTGGACGGATGAGTTTGGACTTCTACCTGCACCTTGTCCTGCTGTGGCATCCTCTGAAAGCGCGGCGGCATCTTCTGCTCATGCGGGCTACATGTAGTTTCAAGATCTTGTGGGTGGTGACAGGCGGTGGTCAGAATGTTGAGCAGCCAAGGCGCTTGTTCGGGCTCGCGATTTTCCATTGGGGAGGGATGCTCTTCTCCAACATCTCCGTTTCCGAAGTCCACATCTCGTTCACGCACACTGTGAAGGCAATGTGCAGTGAGGGCAGGGGGTGTTCAGGGTCGTGCGGCGGCCTCTGAAAGCCTGCATCTAGTGTGCTGATAAAATGCATGAGATGGCATTATGTCTTCCACGGGTGCACAATCCAAGCAAGATATTGGAGTATCTTACAATTTTTGGGTCATCCACAAGGTCGTCCACCACTATTAAATTACTTGATAATTCCTTTTGTTTATTCTTCTTCTGGAAGTCTATTACCTTGTGTTGTGGTTCTATAATGTGTTCTACGGTGATTGGATCGTATTCTTCATGATAATGTGCTTCTTCGTTTTCTGTATCCACTTTCATTATATCAGTAACGACTTTCTTGACTGCTCTCCATGTGTCATCCACATGCACACTCGGGCTCAAAATGTGTTTCTTTATCGTCAGTATTAGGTTTTGGATCAAGAGATTTGCCACTTGTGGAAGAGGCAACACATAGCATTCTTGCGGGTACATTTGGCATCATTTCATATTTACAATTATTGGTATGTCTAATAGGTTCTACTTTAGGAAGATCTTCACTCATTAATTTAATATAGAAATCATTTTCTACATTCTTACACCCATCGTTACAAGAGACCCTGACAAGCATTCCAAAACATCACTGCTTCATAAGCATGTAGTTAGTTTGTTTGGCATCAATGCTTTTCAAAGTTACAAAAATATGAAGTTTATTGTACAGAGATATAATATGACACTATATGTTGAGAAGGTAACCATGGGTGTTAAGACCGCGCATTACCCTCCTCAGTGTGATCGGCAATGTGTTAGATGTAAAGAATGGAAGAATTTAGTGTATGTTCGACGACATTACACGGTGACTTGTTGTGAATGTCTGGATGCCATGAGATAATACAACAATAAACGGAAAATCGAATGAGTTTCAACAAAAGGAAAAGTGAATTAGGAACAGGAGTATAACATGGAATATCAATCTATTATGATTGCAACCTTTGAAAGTAAACCTAGTAAAATCTACGGAGAACCCTTGCCATTTTGGGTAATAATTCCACCTTAGTGAATATGTGTGGGGTAATTGGTTGTTCCTATACTGGTCTTGGTAAGGGGGGAGTGGTGGTGACATTTTGGGGAGTGTTGGGGAGTATAGGGATGATCCTTTTATTTGGATGAGGTAATCGGTTATTCCTATACTGGTATTGGTAATGGGTAGTAGTGGTGATTTTGTTGGTGAGATGTAGCGGGGAGTATAGGAGTAGTCTTCTAGTGGGTCGACTGGTGGTGTTCGTACCCCAAAATGGGCAATGGCTCAATTTGCTAACTGTCATGCCAGAAGACTTCTATAGACTAGGGGTTTTGCAGGGCGAAGAATCGTCAAAAGCTTGAAGAATTTAGCCCCAGGCTGCGGAGCCCTTTTTCACCGCTCTTTTCACTGCACTGCTCATTGGGACATGGCCTTCGCTGCGTGCCTTGGATCGCTTAGCCGGGCCTCGTTGTTAACAGAAGGCGGCGTGCTGTTGGCTTGCGCTGCGAAGCAGGTGCCTGGGCCAGCCTTTTCTTGGTGATCGCCGGCATCGTTGTTGCTTCCACGGCCGAGATCTCGCTTCGCAGCCGGCGTTTATGCAGCACTGCGACAAGACCCAGGTTGAGGGGTTGAGCGCTGGTAGCTTGGTAGGCTTCCACGTTCGCGTCAAGGTTCACCTGGACAGGGTTCTGGGCAGCCATGGTCTCCAACCTCTGTGTTTCGCTGAGGCCTGCTGGGCATTTCCGGGAGGGGCGGGGACGCTGAGCGATTTTCGCTTGCGAAAGGACGGTCTTGACCAAGAAGAGCATGGACACGCACGTCATGGATCCACTCAACTTCATGGCGCACCTTCAACTGTCTGCCTGCCTTGCACCGGAGTTGCAAGAAGCCCATCCTGCTCAATTCAAGCAGTCTGACTTGGCTTCAGCAGTTTGCAGATGTCTTGTTGCTGATGTCATGGCTCGTCACGGTTAGTGCAGCCACGGAGCTTGAGTTGGGACTGATGGTGCTGCGTGTGGAGGGAGACCCGATTGCTAGCTTCTCCTTTGTTCCAGAAACTGCAAGGTGTCGCTGCCAGCTGCTTTGCTCTACAACGTGCATGCTGTCGGCGAGCTCGCTGAAGATTCGATGGCGTGGCCGCTGGCGGCCACAATCGGGCCTCTGGTGGGCTTGCGAGATCTGGTGTAGTAGGTGGCTATCCATGAAGCATGCACACATATAGAATTATAAGTGAGGTTTGGATCTTCAACGTGGCTTCAATCATCATCCTGGTCCACACCTCCACCGTGGTGCACTCGATGGCATCGATCTCATCTTCTCAGCTGAAATCACCTGACACAGTCTTGCAGCCATCCCGCAATATACGTCCCATCATGTCTTCGTCCAGGTTCGATCCATGCGAAGACCGCTGCTGGTACTCGCCTCGATCATCACGTCCCTTGGACTGGCAAAGGGCAATGTTCCTCTAGGTCGCTTCCCTTCCAGCATAGCCCTCACCTTGGATCCAGGTTTGGAACGAGGATCACTCCTCTGAACGCTTTTGGGATCTTGATTACGCTGCTGGGAGCTCTTTGGTACCGCTTTGAGATCGACCTCGGCAACCGAAAGCCGCTTCCGGCGTTCGGACAGTCAAGGCTTCCAGAAATCGCTATTTAAAAAAAGCAGCAGAGTCCAGCCCAGAAACTCCCACCCCAAGTTTCGTCTCCCCGAACAGGATGGCATCCTGGGGCGCACCTCAGACTCGGAATTGTTCATGAGGTGGTCTCTTTGTTCATGCTTTTTCGTCCTTCCCCTAAACAGGGCACGTCTCTTCTGCGGACTAAGGTCTAGCGCAGGCCAGCACGGCTCTGGGCTTTCGAAGGGCCCTGCACTCCCCAAAATGGGGGGGGGGGGGGGCGTNNAAAAGGGGGGGGGGGGGGGGCTTGTGAGCTCGTCCCTTAGTCCAGGAGTTCCGGCCCAGAAGTGGCCTAAGATTCGCAAAGCCATCATCTCCCCGAGCCCACGAAGCTTAGCCAAGCTTAACCCAGCCCACCTCGACCAAGACCGACGCCACGTGACCTCGTGAAGTCCAGCCCTGGCTTTGGAGGACTTGCCTTCATGCCGCAGAAGTTCTCGGAGAAAAGCATACTTCTGAAGAAGAAGTAGAAGTAAGATGAAGTATGCGGAGTTTTCACGCTGAATCACGGCATGCCTGCTGCCCATGGCATTCTGCAGCCTGTCGGCCTTGAGCCCGGGTAGAATTACTCGCTCTTTGATCCTATAGGTCCTAGGGTTGATCGGAGATGCTGCGGCAGGCTTCAGCAAGCATAGCCGGCGTAGGCCGTGCTAAGGCCTTAGGCCCAAGGACCGAAAGCAACAGCTCTTGAGCCATGCGAGACTGGTGGCGGCTGGCTCTTCTCAGCCCTCTCGGTCTCCTGAAACCCTCGGAAGCCCTCACGCGAGGAGCCGCTTCGCTCGTA